GTCCATTTTCTATTGCATCTCTTACTTCTTATGAAATCTATAATAAATTATCCATTAATTATTTATGATTTTTATATTAAATTGTTATAAACTTAATTGCTATTTATCAAATTGGATCAAAACAAAGATCATATTAATAAAATTATCATTAAAATATATTATATTGGATAACTTTTCATTAAATAAGGAAAACCTATCAAAGATAAAGTTAGTTCTTAATCTATGCCATTTATTCTTAGAACATGATTAAACATAATCTTAATCTATTTTAATATTCTAAAATATTGAATATACATTCAATATCCTTCTTAGAATATGGATTATATTAGATTAATTTAATTAAAATAATAATTTATGCTGTAATTAATTCATCCTATTGACAACTTAACACCATTTGAAAATTTGATTTTCTAGAACACATAAGATAACCATTGTCATCTAAATAGATATTGAATATCTATTAAAAATGTTTGAATAATCGGTTTTCCAAAATTAAAAGAATAAAAAAATGCAAAAGATTAGGGATCCTTCTAAATTCATTTAGTTTCTATTTGTAACATGAGAAAGTTAAGTCATCAATCAAGAACAATATCTTCTTATATACACTTTTATAGATCAATTATGGCTGTAAATCCCTTATAAAAAGTAGAAAGAAAGCCTTGATTCTATTGATTATATCATCTTTAGAGATATTAAAATATGATTTATAATATGGAATCTGAAGATACATCTTCTTCTTAAAAAAAATAAATTTTATAAAATAAATTTAATGATTAAAGTAAAGAGTTCAGGCATTAAAGAAACTGATGCAGCTAAATATTTTCTTGAAGCGGTCTTATAGTTAAGAGATCGTTTAAATGAATCTAAATAAATCATTATTGATGCATAAGGAGAAGACATCTGTGTAGCAACTTGTGTTTTAGAATTATTAAAGAATTAATTTCCTAATAATAAAAATTTAATCAAAACAAGTGGTTCTATCAACGATATATAGGATTGTAAAGAAAGTGGAATAATAATTAGCTTTCAAGTATTGGATTTTGGTTAAGAAATTTAGAATCCATATACTTATGTTGAGAAATATTGCATTAATTGATAGACTATGAAAAATCATAAAATAAAAATATCAAAGAGAATAATTCAACATTAAAGCAAAATAAATAATTATATCCACAACAACAATAATAATAATAAAAAGAGATATAAATTGAATCTACATACAAATAAGATTAATAATAAAGACCATAATTTGATATACATGACAAATAGAGCAACTCAAAGAATAAACAGTAAAACAAAATACTAATTAGTTATATTGGAGATGAAGAACTGATCTCAGATGGATTACATGGATTTGCTTAAGCTTTTGATTCAAAATTTGGGGCAAATAGAAATGAAAAGAAAAATAAAAAAAGAAAAAATAAATACAAAAAAGATGACAATGATTTTTTTAGATTAAAATTTTATTCGAGGAAACATAAAATATAGAGGAGGATTTAATTATTGATTAATAATTACAAAAATAATAGTTAAAATATTCCTAATGTAATAAATTAATCATTTTTGATAAGATTTACTTTTTAATTTGACCTTAATTACAATAAAATTATTTAGTAGAGATGAGCAAGCATTCTTAAAGTGATTCTTATTTTTTATCTATTTTTCTTTCTTCATTATACATATTTTATTAAAAACTTATGAATTTTATGGTATCTATTCTTTACTTAATCGTTGATTGTGAAGTTAACTATTGATTAGAAGCAATTTTACTCGTTCGCATTTGGTATTATTCTTAAATATCAAATTAATAATTTAAAGAATATTAATTATTTCTCGAGAATAATATATTGAGGATTTTGTTTTCAATAATTAATTTACTTTTGATATTCACATAATCAATATGCATCCTATTTCAAAATATATAATTTATATATAATGAATAATTGAATTAAATTACTAGGGTAAAATTTATAAATTTTGTTGTTAATAAAGGAATATTTCATGATGGATTTCTTCTTAAAATTTAGAAATGGAAAGGCATTAATAATAACTACAAATAGATCAATTC